ATTTTTATTAATTAAATGTAGACTTTTACAATCATACTTACTAATATAAACATACATCATAATATTTATATAGTATTAAAGAGAAAATAAATTACAATTAATTTGTCAATAAATGAACTTAAATTTTCCACGTGTAACCCCACCTCCCATTTATCTTCCAGAAGACCAAAATCCCTCCAATGCTTTAACTTTACAGCATTTTTTTTTTCTAGCCATTAACAATCTAAAACACACTGCTTCTCTTCTCCTTTTCTTTAAAACTTCTACTTTCTTATTCACTGTATATTTATTACTTTAGATGTTACTGCAATTTTTAGGAGAATTGTTGCTGCTAGTCTTTCTTTCATGCTCTATATTGTTAAGTTTCAAAAAAAAAAAAAAATTGACATTTTCAAATTCTTTTTTTATTTTCTTGTCTTATTTTGGTATAACTAAGATTATATTTTAGGTTTTATTTTACATTTAAGAATTTTTTTTCCTTTTTTTACTCTTTCTATATGTGTTGTATATCAAATTCTAACCATCAACTATCAATTATTAACTTTAAATACTGTCAATTTTTTTCATCTAAAAGGGAGCATGATCCTAGTCATATTTCTTGGCATCATATAGCGTGTTGGAATGCCGAGATGCCCCGCATTCTTTGGAATCAACGTCAAAAAGGACCCATCAACCCACAATAATACTATGAAAGGTAAAATGGTCCCGCCATGTCCATGTGGTCGAGTCATGGGCTGTCCAATTGGGTATAATTGGAGAAAGAAAGTCTTCAATGCAACATGGTGCATCTTATCACGGTCGGCTGAGACTTATCACATTGCAATCAAATTTTGTGAACTAATCAATGAGGGCTATTGTATGCATTTATAAGCTTATTGCCTTTTTTTTTTTTTTTTTTTATTAATCTTTTGGTATTCAACAAGTATATTAGATCTCTATCAATCAAGAATTGAGTTGCATTGAATCCTATAAAGAAAAGCTCTTCTACTGTCTTTTATAAGCTTATTACTTTATTAAGGTTAAAGTTCTTAATTTTCATTTTATATTATGATATTTTTAGTTTCTAAATTTAAAGATTTAAAGATTTTTATCTTTGTATTAACAGAATCTATTTACTTTTTATTAAAATGAGAATAAAATATTTATAAAATTAATTCTCAAAAACTAAAAATAACACAATTTAGTATTAAAAGTTTAAATATTAAAAAATTAAAAAAATTAGTCGATGACTTTGTTATGTACACGAGAATAATATTAGATATTTGCAATTAATTCAAGTGATTAGTTTAATCTGAAGAAAGAAATTTGATTGAAATTAAAAAAATTGCTTAATTATATATATATATATATTTTTTAATTTCATCAAGCAATTAATTTAATCCCAGTTAGCATTTTTTTTTCTCAAATTGAGCTAATGGCTTAATTTGATTGTAGATATCTAATAGGATAATGTTACGTTTACCCTCTTCCGTTACACACTCTTACTCACACTCACCCCTCGTTACTTTCCCGTTAACTCCTAAACGCACCCAGCCCTTTCTTTCTCGATCTCCTTTCCTATCTCTACAGTTCCGGCCGATTCTCAGACATCTCCAATCGTTCCCCTTTTTCCTCAAATGATCCATTGCTACCACGATGCTTTTCCACTTCCTGTGGGTCACCGGACAGCAGGATATCTAAGGAAGAAGACTGTGCAGGAGAAGGAGCAAAGACAGAGCAATCATCAATTGAAACAATGGAGGTGGGTTGCATCAAACCCTAAAGCAGATCTAGCAGAAGCATCGGACCCAAAAGCAAATCTAGCGAAAGCAGGGAAAGGACGCTGCAGATGTCCTAGAAGCTAGTTATTTGGGCATCTTCCTTTGTTTCACATTAAACAATTGTTTCTTATAAATATATTAGCTAATTAGCCACCACCCATTTGTCTGCTCTTTTCAAAATCTTTGATATCACTTCTGGGTCTTGGTGCTTTTTCTCAGGGGTAGTTTCGATCAGGGTAATTGAGGTTTGGGTTTTTATTTTTGTTGGATTTTGCTTTAATCTGGGTGTATTCTTATGCTGTGCTTTGTTGCTAAATTGAAATCGGTTTTAAATGTTTTTTTTTTTCCTCCTTTTTGTTGCTTTAGTGAAGAAGTAAGTAGTTTTGCTTTTGGGTTTTACTTGAAATTTTCTGATCTAGGTTCGCTTTCTGATGTATTGTTGATCCACTTACTGGCACTTGTGAATATTTCTCTAAGATCTGCAACTGGGTTCTCAGTGAATATATCGTGCTACAGGGCGGTGGTGGCGAAAGTAGATCTGTTAGTGGTGGGTTCGAAGGAACCCAGGCTGCTGAAGAGGAATATGAGGCTGTAGATGATTAGGATGAGGATGGAGGTCTTTGTATGTTTTCAGTTCATCAACTAGAGGGATTCTGATGGTTTTGATCAGTAAGGAGGATGGTGAATAGTAATAAGGAGAAAGGAAAGGAGAGGGAGAAAGAAAGGGTTGGGTTGGTACTTAACAGAGAGTAACAGAGACTAAGAATGTGTAACAGAGTGTGTGATGGAGGAGGGTGAATGAATCACTGTCCTATCTAATATTGCTGTTTTATATGTAAAAAAGTCATCTACTAATTATTTTTAGTTTATTAATTCTTTTAATTTTTAAACTTTTAGAATTAAACTATTATATTTTTAATTTTGAAAACTAATTTTGTAAATATTTTATTTTTACTTTTGAAAAGAGTTAATGGATTTCATTACTTTAAAAATTAAAATTTTTAAATCTTTAAATTTAAAAATTAAAAATTTTATAATATAAAATAAGGAATTAAAAACTTTAAATTTAATAAGTTCTCTAAATGCATGGTTCAACCGTCGGATAAGTGGTGTAATCTACGGATCACTTCTCCCAAGTTTCCAAACACCAAATTCGCCACCTAAAGCTCGAATAACAAATTGAGAAAGTGACAAAGAAAAAAAAGGCTGTGGTTATTGTCAACTTTTATTTTGTTAAGGTTGCACATTATATTGAATATAATTTTATCAATTTATACCTTAATTTTTTAAATAATTAATTATAATATTTAAAAATATTTATTTATAAATTAATTTTTATATATTAAATAATAAATATTAATTATTTTATTAATTATTAACTATTTTTAATAATTATATTAAGATAAAAATTAAACAATTTAAGTGACCTTAACAAATTTAGAGATGGACTTAGTTAAAGTGAAAAATACTAAGATTGTGTTTGATAAGTTGTTTGGATTAGCATTTTTGAAACATGTGATAATTGATAATTGATATTTGACAATTGATAATTGTTAATATTTATAATTCAAAATATTTAACTCATTTGATTAAAATTAATAACTAATAATTATTTTTAATAAGTCAAAACAAACATTTTTTAGATTACTGTGAACTATTATGATTGGATTTTTTAATATTCAACTATTAAAAAAAAAGTATGTTATATTTTGAAAAATATCTTATATACTACTAATCTGATCATTAAATTATGTAAAATATTAATTAAGTCATTACAAATTAATATCTTGATGAGAGAGTAATGATAGTGAGAGTCAAAATTTGAAATGAAAATTTGAGACCAATATCATGATTTATGTCATATTATTAAATTAATTAATGTATATAAATATCATAAATTTTTTAAAAATAAAAAAAATTAATTATTAAATAATATAAAATATATTTTAAATATTTTAAATAACATAAATTATATTACGTCACTAATTTTATAATTTGGGTCTCAAATTTTACTTTCTTTATTATTATTCTTTTATAAGTTATTAAAAAAAAAAAGCATTACGATCGAGAAAACAACGCAAACACAATCTAATTAAATCCGTGATGACTAGAACATTTATTGGCTTAAATTATGAATTTTAATAAAAATTTAAAAATTTAAAATTAAATTAAGTTTTGGACTAATAAATGCCTAATTGTCTTGAGAGCAGCTGCTACTTAAAGGTGTCGTATTTAGATGCTGAGTTTGATGTTTCAACAACTGTGGTCCGTGAATTGCTGCCGATTCTTCCCTACCCAGTAGCTAGGAGAAAAAGATTTATCAGTGCATACAATTAATAGGAATCTCTGTCGTTTCTTTTGCGAATAGTAATACTTTAATTGCACATGCCTTTCGATCAAGTGGCATTAATCATGATGAATATGTGTATTTTTTTTTTTTTTGGGTGGATTCAATCTCATTTTATATTAAATTGTTCAAAAATAATAATAATAACAATATTTTATAGTAAAAAGATAGATTAAAATTTTATTTTGGTCCCTATTTTTTTTAAAAAGTATTTTTTTGATTTTTATGCTTAAAAGAGTTTCTTTCTGTCCTAAATTTTACCTTTTCGGTCCTTTTTAAATCCTTCTATTAAGTTTTTGTTTATGTGACAAGTTAGTTAATGAAATTGTCTAATTTTTTCTGTATATAAATGATATGAAAAATCCAAAAGTAAAAAATGATGATGTGGCATCTCATATAAACATTAAACATAACATGTAATTTATAAAAATTAAAATTACAAAATTAACCTTAATCCTTTCTTATTCATCATTCAACCCTTCGCCTTTTCTTTCTTCACCCCTTGTCCCTTTCCAGAACCCTAACATGGATCTTCGCTACCCATCTCAAGCTCATCTTAATCTTGGTATGTTAGGCATCTCCTCCCCCAACGATTCTAGTCATAAAGTACTTTTCTATTGGTGTTGTCATGTGAGAAATTAGCAACAATGAAGTAGAGATTGGTGTCGTAGGTGATGGAAATTAGGATAATTTTTCACTCAGTGATCACCGGAGTAATGATAAGGATGTCGTAGAACCAGTGCACTATTTGGTCATTAGTCACCACACTTGCATTTCACTAGATCTTCGAGGGGACAAGTCTGGGTGGATGTATTGCTCAGGTAAGACGATGATTGCTTCATAAAATTATTGTGGAAATGTTGACGGTACGAACAAACAAAAAAAACTCAAAAACATAATTCAATTATTAGGAGATATTGAATAGTGAACACACTTATAGACATCCCAAATCAAGAAAACAACAAAAACCTAGATCAACAATTGAAGCAAAAATCACGGAGTCAAAGATCTAAACAAAAAATGATGAAGTTAGAGAGATTTAGCATGGTAGCATGGCTCTAATTAGTCCTTCAAGCAACTATCCTAGCATATAACCAGATCCAACAATGATGTTGTTGATGGGGGTGGAGATGAGCTTGACAAAAAAACCCTATGAATCCTATCAATGGAATGCCACCTTCATGATTTCTTTGCAATCACCGAGCGAGGTCCCTTTGCTCTGCTCCAATTTGATTAACTCACTCAGGTTGGATGGGCTTTCATTCAAAATATCAAAATATTTACCCAAATCTATATGTTCAAGCTGGATAGGGAGAAGTATTGTTGTTGATGGTGAGAAGAAGAAGAAAAAGAGAAACAAAATTAAAAAAAAAAAAAAATTCATGGGTTTTGGATTTTTGATAATAGGTGAGGAAGGAGAGGATAAGACAAAGGGGGAAAAAAGATGAGAGTAAATAAGTAATTAATGTCAATTACTCCTAATCACAAAATAAATTTTAAAATATTTATAATGATAATTATGTAATCAAATGATTTTCAAAGTTATATTAGACTAAAAATTTGATCATGTCATTAACTTTTACCAAGTTGATTTTTTCATGTAATTTAAGTAAAAAAAAAAAAAAGACAATTCTATTAACTAATTTATCACATAAACAAAAACTTAATAGATTGACTAAAAAGGGCCTAGAAAGGTAAACTTTAGAACCAAAAAAAGGCATTTTTAAGTATAAGGATCAAAAAGAGAATTTTCTAAAAGTACAGGGACCAAAATAAAAATGTTAA